TGTTACTTTGACAATTTTTGCAACATGTTACAAAGACTTTTGAATCAAGATCTTTTTGTACCTATTATACATGATATTAAGAGTTAAAATAATTTTTGAATGATTTTTAGTGATGAATAAGTCCTTTGAACATGCAACACAAAACAAATGTTCATAAGGAAAGTGTTGTTTGAGCAACAGTTTTGTAAAAATGGTTAAAAATCGAAATTGGAATTTTTCAGTGAGGATCAGATGGCTTTGAAAGCTAACTCAAAATATTATATTTCAGAAAAAGAATCACGAATTTTGGCTAAGAAATGAGTGAGATATGACAGTTTAAAGTCAGGTAAAGAAATCTGGCAGATTGCATGCATGATGATTGGTTAGAAAAGTGGGTTTTCGTCATTTCCTTGAGTAAATTTCTGAAATATTTAAATATATCATGATAACCTCATATTTTGGTCATGTTTCCAGAGATCAAAAGATTAAAACTTATCAAAATGTATACATGCATTTATGAAGAAAATTTTGTTTCTCAAAAACTCTTAACTTGAGTTTGATGTTTTAATCCTTAAAATCGATTTTTGCACTAAGATCATGAACATGTAACCTTGTTTATCATACATGCATGGTGTTAAAAACACATCCATCATGTTCTAAAAACCATTTTAACAAAAAGAAAACAAGTTTGAAGAAGATGAAGAAGGAGAAAGAAAGTGTAAGAAAAAGAGCAAAACTTGAAGGAAAAGTGAAGTAGAAATCGATTTTACCTTCAAGAATACCACAAGATGATGAAGATTTCGAGTTTGAGGAGTGTTCTGGGTTGTTTTCTGGAATATTTCTTGGTTCTTAGAGGGAGGAAGAGAGAGTGGAGTGGTGTTTGAGAGAGAAAAAGTGAGAGAAGTAGAGAGAAGTTTAGAGAGAGTTTTCTAGAGAGAGAAAGAAGAGAGATGTGTGGTGTTGGAGAATGAGAGTTGTGAGAGAGAGATATGGGGAGAGAGGGATCCGATTTTAGGGGAGGAGAGGCTCCCTCTCTCTTGTTTCTTTATAAAAATTCAAATCTTTTATAAAAATATCCAACTTTTTATAAATGTGCACCTTAACCTAGTTTTTATGCATAAAACTCTTGATTTTTGCTTATAAATCAAGGGTAAATGTTAATAACTAAATCTTTATTTTTCATTGAATGTATTTCATAATATTATTATGATAAGATAATATTATAAGGTTCATAATTGTTTTTATAGGATTTTTAAGGTTAAAGTTTATAAATATGAGTTTTTAGGGCTTTTAGGGTTTTGGAGTTTAATAAACTTTGAATATCAAAATAAATAGAATATTTGAGACTTTAAATTATCTTATGGTATTATAACTCTTTTATAGTTATAAATAATGTTTGTAATTTATTTTTATCGGTTTATTGGCATTCTATGTAGTGATTCCGAGATTCAAGCGAAATTGAGGAATCAAGTATACTAGTCCTAGTCTTCAACTTTGACTTAAGTTCCTACGAGACTCGGACCTAATTTATACCACTAGGTCAAGTGCATGATGTGTGTATATGATTCATGAAAAGGTGTTCGAGTCAAAGAGTGACCCAAATATGGATAGTCTCTACAGTTAAGTAGTTATAGAATTCACATATCAATGTGAAATCTAAGTACACTATCCATTGATTCTAATTGTTTCCAAGTTTCTAGTAGGTTATAACTTAGCTTCTAGTTACTAAGTCTAGTATGTGTAGTGCCTATATGTGCAACTAAGTCTAGTTAAATCTAGAAGTGACTCGAATTTTGACGGTTGTCACAACCTCGGCCTCGGTCCAATCAGAAGGTGACACGCACAACTTCGGTCCAACCAGGAGGTGACACGTGGAAGCCTCGCATGCGAGGGTGGCGTGGCCGAAGGTGCACCATGCGAAATTGCCCGGTTTTCAATATTTCTCGATTTTTGTTGCCAAACACTTGCGAAAATTATAACTTTCGCATACGAGCTCCTTTTCGACGTTCTTTATATGTACGCTTAGGTAATATTATACTCTACGACTTTCGTTTAGACTTCGTCGGCTAATTTTGACTTTAATTTTTTTTTTTTACTATTATTTTTAACAGACCGGGACAGGAAATCCGTTAAAAATTCATAACTTCTTCATCCGACGCTCGTTTATGTCTGTCTTTTTACCGTTGTACTACTATTGACGAGCCTCAATTCTGTTTGGTTGTGTCGGCTAAAAATCACTCGATTATTATTTCGAGTTTTTAGCTGTATACTGTTATACTGAAACTTAGAAAAATCATAACTTCTTCATACGAAGTCAGATTTTGACGTTCTTTTTATGAAAGTCAGTTTAACATAAAACTACAACTTTCATTAGATTGTAATGGCTAAAAAAACTTTTTATTGAAAATTCCGTTTTTCACTAAACGTGTTTTGCCGGTTTTGTCGCGCGGATCTTCGTTTGATCTAACTTCTTAGTTATAACTCGGATTTAGTGTTCTTTATATTTTTTGAACCTTGTTTC